GTTTCACAATAGACGTTTATACACCATTCGATAGAGAATTTCAAGAGCTACATTTTGCACTATTTGTATTTCAAGATAGATAAAATCGACTTTTTGGCCTAATGTCCGCTTAGTTGCCCACTGTGTAGCGGTCACTCGACATTCTAATTGAAATATTAAGTCGTACACATTGGGTCCTAGCTTGATGTTTGCTATCGTAATTAAACGATCTGATTGCCAAAATGATTAGGCGTAGTAGATAACTTGGATTGTGTTCTTAGTTCTGGGCCCGCATTATAAATGTTTAAGTTCTGCATGAAAATCGGCTAAAATGACTTATTTCATCTAAAGTAGGTTTTCTTAAGAGTTTAAGACTATTGTTAAATCAAACGCTGTCCCAAGAGTAATTTCAAGCGATAAACTTCGTTCCAGTTCCTTCAATTTAATCATTCAGATGGGGTTGCATCAAAGAAGAAATTCTCAGGAAAATAATTCACATATCCAAACGATGGTATATGAAGATCTCGAACATCCGCCGATTGATAGAGCGCATGTTATCCAGACGTGTCATTCAAACGAAAAGTCTGCTTTTGATTTCAAAAGCTTCAGTCTGTGGTATTGATTTGAATGTGATGCATAATGGTAGACTTTAGAAGAAAATATAACATCAGGACATGTTGTAGAAGACACTTTATCTCACACGCAAACTCAAAATAAACTGTTTTCCATCCAGAAATATGGTCACTCTAATAAAGTAGTCGCATAAAAATAAATGATTCGTATATATAGTTTGACAAAAATCAATTAGAAAATTAACGAAAGAATCAATTGTAATTTATGTGTTTTTCTTTATAAGTCTCTGAATTTATCTGTTGCAGTAACTAGTTGGTGAACAATTCCATCTTCTTTAGCCGAATGTCCAGCATCATCAACCCAATGTAATTCCCCTTTTGGCCATACTTTATGCAAATCCCAAGCGGAATAGGCTGGACAAACTACGTCATACCGACCTTGCACAATAACACCAGGTATATCTTTTATTTTATCGGCATTTTTTAATAGTTGACCGTCTTCGTTCATAAATACTCCATGTACAAAATAATGCGTTTCAATTCGTGCAAATGTAACAGCAAATTTTGCATCATCTGTTGCATGAGCTATATACGATGGATCAACGTATAAACGTGATGTTGATAATTCCCATACGGACCATGCAGTAGCAACTTTTAACTTTTCCTGTTCATCGTTACCAGTTAAACGACGATGATAAGCTGATATTAAATCACCATGTTCAACTTTGGGTATTGCTTCTAAAAATTTTTCCCATGCGTCAGGAAATATCATCGAAGCACCGTCTTGATAAAACCATAATAATTCCTTACGACGACAAATAAATATGCCACGTAATATTAATGCTTTAACAGTTTCGGGATGTGTTTCAGCATAAGATAAAGCTAATGTTGAACCCCAACTACCACCAAATAAAATCCATTTGTCAATATTAAAATGTTTACGTAATTTTTCTAAATCTTCAACTAAATCCCATGTTGTATTTTCTTCTAAACAAGCACTTGGCGTTGAATTACCGGCACCACGTTGATCATATATAATAATTCTATATGCTTGTGGATCAAAAAATCGTCTATCTCGTGCATCTGTACCACCTCCTGGTCCTCCATGTATAAACACAATTGGTTTACCCGATGGATTTCCAACTTCTTCGTAATATAAAGTATGAATTTCGGACACTTTTAACATACCAGTTTTATACGGCTCTATCTCTGGATATAATTCTCGCAATTTTTTTTTTTCTGGTGCATTAGTAACTTCCGAGGACATTCTTAGCAGCCTAATGGATAAAGATAGAAAATATTGGTGGAAGACTTGGCTAAACCGTCGGGATATCTAGAAAATGTCGCACAAAACGATGAATATCATGAAAAAGATATATAAAGAAAGATAAGACCATTTTTTCACTTATAAAATTTATTGAAAAAAACCTATATGGTTCTAAGCAGTTTGATATGTCGTTTATATTTATAGTTTGACTAACTGTACTAGTTTAATAATAGAAAAAATTCTTCTTGTTAAAAGAATATGTAGTAAATAAACTTCCTCAGCATTACGCTTCACAAACTCATTTCTTTTCTCATTAAATGCCTGTAGCTTGAGTAAGGTCATGTGGACACGTATATAAGTCAAAAGTAAGAGAAAGAAACGAATATATTACTTATTTTTTCCGTCCTTCTACGAACAAAACATAGTCCGCGTTGTCATTCTTTTGCACAGGTTATCATTCTTTTCGTTCTTTACAGTTTTATTTCTGTTTCTTCTCAACCTTAGCTTATTGCACAATTGCATTTGATAGGGTCCTGTCATTATAATGCATCGTTAGTATACCGTTGGTCTCTAAAATTTTGACGGAGACTGGCTTCACTTAAGATCACAGAGAATATGGATGATCTGTCCATGTGCTCTTTAATTCTAAACAGAGTGAGTTTTCGCTAAAATTTGAGAGACGAACGGTATACTAGCGATGCATTATAACGACAGGACCCTATCAAATGCAATTGTGCAATAAACTAACAGTCAGTATTTTTACTTTCTTGATTATTACTATAGTTAGGATATTATAATCCTATTTAATATCTTTTTCAAACTATACTGTGAATCTTTTGAGTTCCACTAGATGAAAGTTTTTTGAGTTGCTAGAAATACAGAGTGTATACTTACTCTACAAAATAAAACACAAACGGATTCTGTGTGGTTTTTGTCTATAATTCTGTACCCATTCGATAATAAACCTCAAGCCAGGACGGACCGACCTTTTGTCTTAATGCAGCAGCTTTCTTCTTTTCGGCATACATTTTATGGTTCACATTGAATACAGAACCCTTGGTAGAAAGGACGATCATTAGTTCAGGTGCTCGTTTACAATGAATTTCTTCAGACAACAATTTATCTTTAGACTTTCAGTGAATAGTCTAGAGGCAATGCAGAGTATTTGATGATTCCTAGGCTAAGTTATGAGCTTTTTTTCCGGAAAGCCCCTCATATTTCAAAAGTGACTCTCTATCGTGAAATAGCTGTATTTAGTGACTATTAGGAAACAACAAACGAAACTCATAGCGTACATAGAGAAGAGTCAAGGCTACACTTTGGTAAAAAGAAAAATTCTCATCTCTCTTGGATCAGAAGTTATTAGCACTTTACGGAAAATAAATGAAACAGCGTTTGCGATAAAATAGTTATGAATAGGTGAGGAGCTCTAAATCTCAACTCGAGCTGATTATAACTTGACTTGAATACTACTTCTATTCAGTTCTGTTCAATGACCTAGCACTGACCAAATGTCAGTATGTGCCTCACGTACAACGTAAAAATTTTGGCTACATTGATCCTTTTTTAAAGAATTGTGTGAAACATGGTTTTTCAGAGAACAGAGAATCATTGACAGTATTGCTGATCTTTCAAGGGCTAATAAGAAATCCTTTAGCAAAAATAACATTTCAAATAAATCTTTCAAACTTATAAATGGTGACTTGACACATGTGCCGATATCTGTGACTAAGTACTGCAGTCTATCTTAGAGATCGTGGTTGTGCCAGTATTTATGTTGTTTTTCTACCCTAAGAAATTTGGATTATATTTTGGATTATAATCATATGAGACTAAGCGGCTTATGATGGTGTCTACATACAATTGCTACTAAACTACGAATAATTCGACCTCCTCAGTTCATGCAGGCCGGACAGTCGTTTCATATCACTGGTTTGGGTTTCAACGAACAATCACAATAATCTTCAAACAGATCGACTGAGGTATGCATTGAGCTCAAATCGATACACATTGGGAAGAGCAAAACGAGTAACTGTAAAAGTGTGTTAAGTGGATAAAATGATAGAATATCTAGTGACGCCATATATTTGAAAAATTCGCACCACAACTCATTAGGACATTGTTCAATTGACGAAATCGAGTTATCTTGTTTTAGAGAAAAAGCAAGTATCAGTAGAGATTGGAAAACATACATAAGTCGTAAGCTTACCCGAACACGGTTGATAACAGAAGCAATCGTCGCCCTCTGGTAGTGAGGAGACATCTCCTATATCCTGATCGGGATATAAGACACAAAATTCCGTCGAAAGAACGATTAAGGAAAAACGACGACGTTATAAGAAAAAATTGACCTCATCATTAGAAAGAGTTCGAAAAACTACAACGGATTCTGTTATGGTTTATTAAAAGTGTGTCAAGTACCCGGCAACTATTTTTTCGAACAAAACTTTTTACCAAATTTTAGTCGAATTTATATCACGATCAGGAAATAGCGGTTAACCTTTTATTGCTCAGAATGTGATATACTTCTGATCTACTCGCTTTCCACACCGATCGTCTTTTTCTATTTGATTCTTTTTGATACACGCATTTCTTTTCTGATGAGTCGACAGTATATAAGTACACGTACTTTGTATTCAAGAGGGAATTTTCCAACTATTGATTCGTGCAGATAAACTGCCTTACTTGGGAATCTAACGATTAGTTCACTAGCTGGGAAACTTGTTAGGTTTCCGGGTAAACGAAGACCTTTGCCACCTAACGTTTATTTGAGAAATTCCATACAAACATAGCACACACACACCATATTATACAAACACGCACATATATATACTAATCTGTTACATCCTGTCTAGAAAAGAAGACTGATGCAATATCTGTTTGCGTCATCTTAGAGCTGTTCGATTTCTGTTGAGTTCGGCTAATGTAATGTAGTTACATCATCATCCAGATTCCTGCTCTTGCATCACCTTAGAACCGGTCCATCTCGTCGACTTAGGCTCATGTAATACCACAGCGTCATCTTCCAAGGTCTATTTAGGTCCCCAGCTCTAAAAGAGACCCATTCTAGTATAAACATAGAATTCGAACGTGGTTTGACCTGAATTTTTGACTCCTGCTGTGGATTCTTACCTGTTTTAACATATTACAGCGAGTACTGTTCAAAGTTCAAACTGTCTTTAGAGAAAAACGTCGATCTACTGTAGTACATCCAAAAAGAATATCCGAAATTGTGTAAAATGGTCAACAACAATGCTAATTAATTTGCAATAAATCCACTTCTGATTAATTTCTTACCCTTCTGTTCACGAATGAAAACCAATCTGAAATGAGCGTCACAAAAGTATGTAGAAAACAAAAGTTTTAACTATTTGACAAAGTGGAGCTCGTAAGCATTCTCCAGTAAGTGGCTCTTAGATTCTGCTGCAAAGTGACACACGGTAGACTCTTATAAGAAACTATACATCTTTTTTTTATTCTAAGTTAAACCAGTTGTTATAAACTTTATTTGAAAAGTCATTTGCCTATGATTTGTTAGATGTATTATTCGATAGAAAGATAAACTTCATTTTACGGATTCCCATCTATTCTTAAAAATTCGAAGAATCTTGTCTGTTCCAGATGAAAGACTCTTGGCTGATGAATAACAGGATTGTTCTCCTCCACAAAAACAACAAGAAAAATGAATGACTCAGGTAGTTGGTATTTTCCAACGAATGAATCACTCTGGCTGATGACTTGTTGTAAACTTTATTTGAAAAGCATAATCTATGAAAAACTTTGTAGAAACGACAGGCGAGTGTTTACACTCATAATAGTTGTAACTAGGGGTGACACTTTCTCTTTCTTTCCCCCAAAAAAAGGAAAGTATAAATTGAATTTTCTTTCTTTTGCTTTCCTTTCCCAAAAGAAAGAAAATTCAATTTATACTTTCCTTTTTTTGGGGGAAAGAAAGAGAAAGTGCCACCCCTAGTTGTAACTACAAAGTGATGACACATTCAGAAATAAAGGAAGCAAGGAAAAGGCACAGAAGTGTACACAAAAACCAAAAAAAGACGAAAGAAAGAGAAGAAATCAAGTTTTGCCAATAAAGAATAAGCACAGTATAAAATACGTGCAATTTTAAACAAGTTGAAACTCTGTAGAGGAGGGAGGTTAGGGCACTTCAGAGGTGAGTGATCAAACAGAGTTAAAGATATAGATTAAAACTGTCGCAGGTCAGAGAGCAATTAAAGACGATTCATATTTGTTATGAACAGGACTCACTCCATCATATAGAGTCTATAGACTAATGTCAGAAATAGAAATATTAAACAATTAATATTAAAATTCTATTAGATACTTTTCCATATTATTTAAATATTAGTCCATTCAATATGTTTCTTTATTTAAATATTTTTCCTTTATTTTAAAATAATTAAATATTTTAGACCAAAAACTACTTTAATATTAAAATCATCACCAGCTTTAATATTTGATTCGTTTAAAAAGATAATTAAATATTTTTCTATCTTACAACAAGAAAAATATTTACTAATGGACGTCCCTACAAAAAAAATTTTTATCGGTACTGGTACGGCACTGATGCGCACCGGTGCGGAATGATATTTTTTTTTGGCACCGGTGCGCACCGGTGCGGAATGATATATTATTTTTGGCACCGGTGCGCACCGGTGCGAAACTTGAACATTTCTCTGGTAGTGGTGTACACTAGTGCCAACTGGTACTCGTACGGCACGGGTGCGCACTGGTGCGAAATGATATATTTTTTTTGGCACTGGTGCGCACCGGTGCGAAATGGTATACAGACAGCAGCGACTCATCAACTGAATTTTGCACAGAAAACGATCATTATACACTTGAAAAAAAACGAGAAAAAAACTGAAATTCTGTTTTTTATTTGTCCGACATGGGATCTGATGTGAGTTTTCTGAAATTTTTCAAGACTGATTTTTTCATTTAACAGAAATTGATTTTGTCATTGTCCAGATCCCTATTTG